CAGGCAAGGCAAGGAAGTCTCCAAAGAGGAGCAGGAGTTGGCTTTCATCACAGATCTCCTTCCAGTCACTTAGAAGAAATGTGGCGAAGAAACTTTGAACTGTCTGGCTAATTCAAGCCATCCTCTGAGGTTCTGTCTTTGCCAATATCCTGGTATAAAGAGAATAGAACTTTTGCATTGTATTTCAATGCCAACTTTTTTGAGTTATCCATGCCTGCTTTTAGCACTTTTCAGGGACATTAACTGTTCCCCCCCACCCATGTTAAACAAGGCACAGTTTTCACAAGAAAAAATCCACAATGCAAAAATTCGGCTCAGACACACACACAAAACAACAACAAAGTGAGAGGAATATACAGTGGTACCTCAGGTTACATACGCTTCAGGTTACGGACTCCGCTAACCCAGAAATAGTGCTTCAGGTTAAGAACTTTGCTTCAGGATGAGAACAGAAATCATGCTCCGGCGGCGCAGCAGCAGCGGGAGGCCCCATTAGCTAAAGTGGTGCTTCAGGTTAAGAACAGTTTCAGGTTAAGTACGGACCTCCAGAACGAAATAAGTACTTAACCTGAGGTACCACTGTAGTTGGAGAACCAAAACAGTTCTCTGTAATGCATTGGGAGAGCAATACTTAGGACAATTTTTATGGGGAGATCTGATCACGAGTCTCCAATTTATCTACCAGGCGGACAAAATAAACATTCAGCTGTGAAGGCTATGCATTTTCTGCAGTTTAACAGATAAGAGGAGAAAGCTCTTAAAAAGAAAACACTGTTCTTAAAGAGAGGCTGCTGTGCCTTGTCAGGGAAATTCAAGATTTCGTTTTACGTCTTTTTTCAATTAGGTCTTACATAATTTCATTCAGATTTGCATAAATTCATTTTACTCGGTCCTGTTTTATTTTCTCTTCCTGCTACACGTTAATATTTTCCCAAACCATTATTAGCTAAAAAATACAGTAACAGCAACAATAATAAATGTGACCTGAAAAAGAAATCTGACACTACACCTTTGTTTATACTGTAGTTTATTTGGGCCTGAGTCTACTGAGTCTACTGAGGTTATTTTGTGTGCTTTCCAGCCAGTGGCTAACAGCTGACTCAGAACTGGTGTGGGCCAGAGGAAACCAGCTGTCGAAAGCCATGGTGGGGAATCTGTGGCCCTCCAGATGTTGCTGGAAAACCCCTTCAGCACCAGCCCACATAACCAATAGTCAGCAGTGATGGGAGCTGTAGTCCAGTAAAGACATAGCTGAGCCGCTGAAAATACAAAACTAAAGTTCAGGGATGGGGGCGGGGAAACTAGACCACAAAAACTATCCTACTTAATCATTGGCCATGCTGCCTGAAGGTCGTGTCTGTTTGTTTTTTAAATTATTAGAAACGGCTAATCAGTTTACACAAAACATAAAATACACACCAGGATTTTCAACAAAAATCAGGAGTTAAAAGCAAGTTGACCTAAAAAGGTAACTCAAATATACATAAAATCCACTGCTCAAAATATGCATTACTTTGAAAAGGAAAAACTGCCTATTAAGATGCATATCAATCTCATTTTTTAAAACCTGTTTTAAAAATCTGTATGCTGCTTTATTGTCATGAAACAGGGCCTTGTGGAACGCCCTCCCATCAAATGTCAAATAAATAAACAACTATCTGACATTTAGAAGACATCTGAAGGCAGCCCTGCTTAGGGAAGTTTTTAATGACTGATGTTTTAATGTATTTTTATTCTTTTGTTGGAAGCCACCCAGAATGGCTGGGGAAACCCAGTCAGGTGGGCAGGGTATAAATTTATTATTATTATTATTATTATTGTGCTCCGGCGGCGCGGCAGCAGCAGCAGCAGGAGGCCCCATTAGCTAAAGTGGTGCTTCAGGTTAAGAACAGTTTCAGGTTAAGTACGGACCTGTGGAACGAATTAAGTACTTAACCCAAGGTACCATTGTATTATTATTATGTCCTGCACTCCACTGTACTAACACACCTGGAAGGAAATCCTAGGTCCCTAATTATGTGAGAATATGCTGCAATGTCTCAGGCCGGGGAAAGGCATTCTGCCCATGTTCAGAGGAACTCTTATATAACGCTTTGAAAGAAAAGCCAGTGTATTTGTACTTTGAAGGGCGGCTTGTTTTCCTTTTATTCATTTCCTGCTTATGTGGCTCAATGTCAAGAAGGTTGAGTCAGCGATTCTGCAAGCAGGTATCACGAAAGATCAGGGGACACCCTACTCCCAAGCCTTGGTTAATCTGAGCACATGCCAGCTTTTGGATCCTGCTCCTCCTCCCATTACACACTCTTTGGCCAGTCTTCATTTCCTGCTGCTGGTCGGGGAGACTGCCCTAAACGATTATGTAACTATTATAATGGGCTGAAAGGTGCAAGGCAAGTGATGTCACCCTTCAGAGCCAGGTGACTCATTAGTCACGGCTCTGCTTCCCAATTACAGGAATAGCAACCATTCTCCCGGGGTTGATGTCAGGTTCTTTTCCCACGCAATTACTGGTCAGGAGGCAATGATCGAGGCAAAGCTTGAGAGCAAAGGAAGCAGCAGCCTTATACAGAATTTCAAAGCACTGATCCATCTAACTTAGGAGTTGGGGAACTGCCGGCCCTCCAAGCAGACTCTGTGCAACCACCTCCTTTAACTTCATCATTAAAACTCACTCTTTCTAATCAGTCTAAATAAATTCAGATCAGATCCTCATGCAGAGACACGGCAGGAACCCTATTATTATTAATTATTATTATTATTATTTACCCACCCTTCACCTAAAGTCCCACGTGGGTTGCAACATTAAAACTCAAGGTTAAAAGCTCTTTAAAACAATTTAATGGCTTTCAGGAGCCTGAGGCCTTCCAGATGCTGCTGAACTACAATTTCCATCATCCTTTGTCATTGTCCATGCTTTGGGAGGATCTGGAGGAGCAACTGTTGAACTGGACAAATTCACAGAGGATATCTGTGGCTACGCTCTGCCTTCATGGTCAGAGGCAGCAATGCTCCTGAATACCAGTTGCTGGAAGCCATTGGAGGGGAGAATGGTATTTGGGTCCTGCTTGTGGATTTCCCACAGGCACCTGGTTGGCCACCGTGAGAACAGGATGCTGGTCTAGACGGGCCATTGGCCTGATCCTGCAGGACTCTTCTCATGTTCATATGGAAAAGAGACCACAGCCTTTATGCCTGATGAATAGGGGAGAAACATTTGAGTTTGTTTGCATTTTAATGAGAAGCTACCTAACTCTCAGGGACATGGGTTAAACCACAGAGCCTAGGACTTGCAGATCAGAAGGTCGGCAGTTCGAATCCCCGCGATGGGGTGAGCTCCCGTTGCTCGGTCCCTGCTCCTGCCAACCTAGCAGTTCGAAAGCACGTCAAAGTGTGAGCAGATAAGTAGGTACCGCTCCGGCGGGAAGGTAAACAGCGTTTCCGTGCGCTGCTCTGGTTCGCCAGAAGTGGCGTAGTCATGCTGGCCACATGACCCGGAAGCTGTATGCCGGCTCCCTCGGCCAATAAAGCAAGATGAGCGCCACAACCCCACGACTGGACCTAATGGTCAGGGGTCCCTTTACCTTTATCTTACCTAACTCTCATTTCTTGAGCCAATACTGGAACCAAAACCTGAACATCTGTTGAAATTCACCCTTCTCATAATTTTGCAGAGCAGTACCCCAACCAACTCGTGTGTAGGAGAACGCACATACAGTGGTACCTTGTATTTATACAGTGGTTAAGTATTTAATTCGTTCCGGAGGTCCATTCTTAACCTGAAATTGTTCTTAACTTGAAGCACCACTTTAGCTAATGGGGCCTCCTGCTGCTGCCGCGCCTCAGGAGCACGATTTCTGTTCTCATCCTGAAGCAAAGTTCTTAACCCGAGGTACTATTTCTAGGTTAGCGGAGTCTGTAACCTGAAGCATATGTAACCTGAAGCGTATGTAACCCGAGGTACCACTGTATTAGAGTGGAAATATACACTTTTGCAAACAATACTGCACTATTATGAGTGTTCTAGCTTAGATTACTACAGCACGTTATTTGTAGGGCTGCCACTGAAGACAGTTCGGAAACTTCAGCTGGTGCAGAATTCAGCGGCCAGGTTGCTCAGTGAGGCAAGACGGTTTGAGCACAGAACACCAACCCTGGTCCAACAGCACTGGCTGCCAGTTACTAGTAGTTTCCAGGCCCAATTCAAAGTGCTGGTTTTGACGTATAAAGCCTGATACGGCTCAGGACCACAAAACCTCAAGGACCACCTCTCCCCATATAAACTGACCCACACCCTGCAGTCATCATCTGAGGCCTTTCTTCAGGTATCCTCCATGAGAGGTCCAGAGGGCAGAAACATGAGAATGGGCCCTTTCTAAAGCGGGATACTTTCCCCAGGGACACTTGCCAGGCACCTTCATTACATATCTTTAGGCACCAGGCTAAAACATTTCTCTCCAGCCAGGAGTTCGGCTGATTGATGTTCTATGGCAGGGGTCAGCAACCTTTTTCAGCTGTGGGCCGGTCCACCATCCCTCAGACTATGTGGTGGGCCGGACTATATTTTGAAAAAAACAAATGAACAAATTCCTATGTCCCACAAATAACCCAGAGATGCATTTTAAATAAAAGCACACATTCTACTCATGTAAAAACATGCTGATTCCTGGACTGTCTGCGGGCCAGATTGAGAAGGCGATTGGGCCGCATCCAGCTCACGGGCCTTAGGTTGCCTACCCCTGTTCTATGGCCTTTTAAATGTGTCTGTGGGGGAGGGGTTATTGGTTTGTTTGTTTTTACAGTGGTACCTCGGGTTACAGACACTTCAGGACGCTTCAGGATGAGAACAGAAATCGCGCAGCGGCAGCAGGAGGCCCCATTAGCTAAAGTGTTATATCAGGTTAAGAACAGTTTCAGGTTAAGAATGGACCTCCAGAAAGAATAAAGTTCTTAACCTGAGGTACCACTCTATTATTATTATGTAGGTTTTTTTTTCTTCTTTTCATATTGTGTTTTATGTTGTGAATGAACCACTCTGTGATCTTCAGAGGAAGGGTTGTCTACAAATCAAAACAAACTGTATACAAAAATATGTATGGTAGGGGAAATTTGAACTGACACACTGATGGATTTCCCATAAGATATTTTATAATTATGAGTTCTGTGGGAGCGTAAAGATTTTAAGATTTTTTGGGAGGTGGGCATGAGAACCACAGTTGACCAGATCTCTCCATCCCTGCCAATGAGCTCCTTCCCCACTCTCCCCACACACGGTAAGGCCTTTCAATAAAGCACAGCGTGGGACATTCTCAGGTCTGAGCTTCAGCACTATCCTTATGGAATGGCCCCTCTCTGCTTTTATGCAGGGCCCAGGGAGGCACACCGATGAGCCAGAGAACAGTAAAGAGGCAGCTCCTGATCAGTGCATGAGAACTCTGGATAATTGTTATCCCCAGGTATGGCGGGAATGTTCAGAAGGATGCCTATTCATAAGCGAGGCGTCCGTGATCATGCAGAGCAGCAAAACAGGGCCTGGAGCAACTGGCAGTCACGGTCCCATTAACGAGTGCCAATTAGTCAGCGGGCCTCATTAAAGAACCACCATTTGGAGGAGGCAAGAGGCAACAAGCCCCGAGATCAAATCAATTAGCCACATGGCTATTTGCAAATCCCTCTGACAGTGCTTCCAGTACTTACTCACTCCCTGGGCTCTCAGTGTTTCCATAACCTGAGCTTGGGCAGCAGACGTTTCGATGTAACGGCCATCTGCTCCAGCTGTCCCCATCTTCTGTTTCACATCACTCCCTGGTAAAAAAAACAAAAAACCCTCCCTCCAATAATTCTTTTTGGGAAGACACAGTCCGCCTCCGAATGCTAGTTGCTGGGAATCGAAAGCAGGGAGAGTGCTGTTTTATGGGGGATTCCTAACACGCATCTGGAAGGCCACCATAATGACAGGAGGCTAGATGGGCCTTTCGCCAGATCTAGCAGGGTTCTCCATGTGTCCTTAGGGAGATGATCTAGTAGAAGAGTTTGGATTTGATATCCCACTTTATCACTACCCGAAGGAATCTCAAGCGGCTAACATTCTCCTTTCCCTTCCTCCCCCACAACAAACACTCTGTGAGGTGAGTGGGGCTGAGAGACTTCAAAGAAGTATGACTGGCCCAAGGTCACCCAGCAGCTGCATGTGGAGGAGTGGAGATGCGAACCCGGTTCCCCAGAATACGAGTCTATCACTCTTAACCACTACACCACACTGGCTCCCTAGTCACAGTTATCCATGCCCCAATAACATGTTGGCTGGATAACTGCCAAGTTGGGGTTCTCACCGTGGCACCTGCAGACCCCCAAGGGCTCACAGATGTTTACTCAGGGGCCTCCACCAGGTTCTCTTTGCATGAGATTACTTAGATTGGCTCTGTGGGTTTCTCTTCCCTCCCCCAAGCGCTGCCCAGGCTATCAATGGCTATGTTCCCCCAGAGGCAGTAGGTTTCTAAACACCTGTTGCTGAGAATGGCAAGTGGGGAAGAGTTGCTGTTGCGCTCAAGTCAGGGCCGGCCTGCTCATTAGCCATCTCAGGCGGCAGGCTGGGCACAGCAGGGAGAGGCGACAGAGCCATGCTCCATAGCATTGCACTGCTCACAATGGAGTAGGGGAACTAGGTCAGTCCCCTAAATGTGCCCCTAAGCTTCTGCCCAGCTTAGGGAGGGAAGCACTATGCTCACATGCATGATGTCAGGACATCAGGACATCATGTGTATGATGTCAACCCCCCAATTGCCCTTGCAAGCTAGTGCCTCTGGCCCTTACTGTTCCCCTATGAAAAATTTCACTGCATGCCACTGACCGATCACCTCCTTCTCTTGTGCTTGTCACCTGTGGCCACCTCCTGGGAAGAGAAGGGAGACCTGCTGCTGCCTGCTTCTCTTTGGCCTCCTTATTTTTCTCCCACCACCTTCAGTGCTCCTGGGCTTCCCTTGGCTGCCTCCGGTTGCCTCAGGCAGCAACAGCAGGGGAGGGCGGCACCATTTTCTATTTTGCCACAGGTGGCAAAATATCTTCAACTGGCCTTGCTTGCATGCTTCCCCTAGGCTTCTGTTTGGTCACTTTGAGAGCAGGCTGCTGGACTAGATGGGCCATGGGTCCAATCCAGCAGGGGGTTCTTGTGTTGACATCTGCACACTTTGACCATCCTCTCCTTCCTCTGCAAACTTAAGACTCCCGGTTCCAGATGAAACACGACTGAACTGCACCAGGCCATGATGGTGCCTTCCTTTTTTCAGTTCTGTTTGTTTCCCCGGTGGGAAATAGCTGGTTTTTTTATTTGTTTATTCAGTTTTAACTTAACTAGTGGCCATTAAGAAAAGGAGGCCCTCGCCTTATCTCTCTTCAGCCAGGCCCCCTAGCCAGAGAACTCAGCTTCCAAGCCAAGGGAGGCTATATATCTTTCCTTATACAAATACCAGCACTATCTATGACAGCTCAATTCCTGCTTGCAGAGCAATAAACTGTTTGCAGGCTTGCAAGAAGTCGAAAACCCCCAACATAACACTTAAAAAGAAGAAGAAAGCTTGTGAGAATTGATTCACATGAAACAACAAAAAAAGCACTGAACTAGGCTTAATTTCAAGTAGTGCTGATGCCCTCCAGAAATTGTCTCAGTGATCAGAGATGCGTATTGTAGCAAAGCAAACCTCTTAGCCTGGAGCAATTTCCTTTGGCGCAAGGGTTTAATAGGATTAAACTTGTAGTACTGTGGCTTAGTGGCTGAGAGCTTGCAGCGCTGTAGAAGAATTCCACACACCCCGCCAACGAAACTCACTTCCGGCATATTTACTCAGTGCTGTCAGCACACAGGACACATTAGAGAGCACAAGAGATATGGATCCCTGCCCCAGGGAGCTTACAGTCTTAAATTTACTACAAGGGAAAGAAAGGAAAGGAAGGTAAGTGGACAGGGAGAGAATATGTGTCTGTTTTAGTTAGCATTTGCTTAGACTTTGTTATAGGTAGGGAAAGGCAAATGGTTTCTCACCAATTCTTAGTTCCCTAATCTAAAATTCAGTTCTCCACATTTCCCAGCAATCTGCAGATCCTTTTTTTTAAAGAAAAGAAATAACAATCATTAATTTTTTTTCAGTTTTTAGCAGGGGTTTCCCCTAATCAGCATACCTTTGAATGAAGTTTTGACAAATACTGTACGCACATTTTCTCAAGCAGTTTCTCCTTGTTATTTAGGCGTTTAGTCGTGTCCGACTCTTCATGGCCCCATGGACCAGAGCACGCCATCTCGTCCTCTGTTGTCCTCTTCTTGTGCCCTCAATTCTTTCCCAGCATCAAGGTCTTTTCCAGGGAGTCTTCTCTTCTCATGAGGTGGCCAAAGTATTAGAGCCTCAGCTTCCAGCGAGCACTCAGGGCTGATTTCCTTCAGAATGGATAGGTTTGATCTTCTTGCAGTCCATGGGACTCTCAAGAGTCTCCTCAAGCACCATAATTCAAAAGCACCAATTCTTCGGCGATCAGCCTTCTTTATGGTCCAGCTCTCACTTCCATACATCACTACAGTACTGGGGAAACAATAGCTTTAACTATTCGGACCTTTGTCGGCAAGGTGATGTTTCTGCTTTTTAAGATGCTGTCTAGGTTTGTCATTGCAGTTTCTCCTAATGCAATGTATTTCTGAATGCTCACTAATACAGGCATATTTATACATACACATATCCCCCAGGTGATATTGCTGGCTTCTGTCTCGAGAAACAATGGAGTGTGCCTCTGGAGGTGAAGTAAAACTGCTGCGTTAAGTAGCACAGAAGTGACCTCTCTGGGACAGGAGCCTGGGCAGTGTGTATGGAGGTCCTGGGCTGCCCAGACAACAAAACTCCACTCTCAGCCTCACTGATGTGGTCCAAAGGAAAGTAGAGTAAGACATTTGGCGCCAGTTTGGCTGCAGGAGTTGCCAGGAGGAGGCATACAAAGCGCCACCCAACCACCTTAGGGACTCCACTCTGCATTTGTGTAAGGTTTACTTCTTAGCCTTTTCTTCTCCCAAAGATATCCTGCAAGGCAGCAGGGGTTTAGGATCAGAGTTTTCCTTCTTCTAGAATAGATGGGCTACCTTCCCAGGTTGACAGGCCCCATCTGCCCCTCACTTTTTCTCTTGAAATAATTTTTTTTTAGGTCTTATACATATATATATAAAAGATAAATGTTCATAACTGCATATATAAACCACATGTCTGAAACCCCACAGAAAAAGTCCTGAAACCATTTTGTCCCTCCCAAATTGACCTCTGCAATGTCAAAGGAAAATGGAAAAGCCTCCCCATTGTTTTTTCGTTCATAAATCCTGTCTTAAGGGTATGTCTGTGTATGAATAGGGTGAGCCTGTGACCTGGCTCAGGTACTAAGTATTTGTCATTACAAAAGACTGGCCAGGCTCCCCAGGGTATCCAATCAAGTGACCATTAACAGGTAACCTGCCAGACAGGAGATAAACAACGCACTCAGATTTCTGTTGTAGACCGCCTTTTCTGTGATGTAGGTATGATGTTTCTGGGGGTGGTCTTGAGTGCCAGGGAAGGCAATTTAAAATGTCTATATAAGGGCAGGCACACCTTTGTTTGGGGTCTTCCTCCTTTCCTGTGTGTGAGGGGAGCATTCTGTTGCAACAGTTTCAATAAAGATCAGGCTTACTAGCTGCTTTGCTTCTCAATATTCTCTGGTTGGCCTCTGTTATTTTCTCCTAACGATGGAGAACCTACAAAGGACTCTATAAGGGTTCTTGTGCTCCCAATAAGGGAATAAGGGCAGATTTTTGTTTATTACACTCTGCAGCACGTGCAAAAACTGCCTTGTTGACTGTTGGACCCCCTGTTGGTTTCTCCTGCTCAGTCCTCTTAAAACATAGGAAGAACCCTACCAGATCAAAGCAAAGGGTCCTCTAGTCCAACATCCTAATTCTTCACAGTGTGTCCAGTCAGGTGCCTGAAGGGAGCCTACAAGCAGGAACCTAGGTAAAGCAAAACTCTTCCATGTGTGGTTCCATGGTGTGAAATATAGTGGCACAAATACAAAAATAGGTGCCTCTATTTTTTCAAATAAAAAAATAAGCAATCTGATAGAACAAGAACATTACAGAGGAAAGTGATAAAACAAAGTCATTAAAAGTTTAACAGCGAAAGCAAAAAGTGCATCTACCAACATGAGAATTAAAATAGATTTCTTAATATGATGTCTTAATACGTTAATCAATCAGGGAAAATGATAAAACATTAATATGGCAATAAATAGGATTTGTAGATAATGGCACGAGTATATCATGAATAAATAACATTATTAAAAAGAGGGAGAAAATATAAAAGACAAATTAATGGATAGATTACTTTGGGTAATGAAGTACCAGATTGGAAGAGGAAATGGGACACCTGCAAGCACATTCTGCTTTGTGTTTTATGGGTTGTGCTCAGAGCTGTTATTAGCTATTATTTATTGAATTTATATACCGCCCTATACTCCCGGAGGGCTCAAGGCAGTTCATAGAGCAAAATCAGAATATAAAACTACAAAATATATAATCAAAATAAAAACAGCAACCCAATAAACCACCCCCTTGTTGTTGGCATCTTACTCAGAGTAGACCCACTAAAATTCATGGCCATGATTAAAGCCTCATTTGCATTACATACTTAAAGTAGGATCGTACCAATTTAAACTGCCATGGCTTCCCACAAAAAAATCCTGGGAACTGTAGCTTGTTAAAGGTGCTGAGCGTTGTTAGGAAACCCCCTCACAGAGATACAGTTCCCAGAGTTGTTTAAGGGTCAATCCATCTTCCCAGGGAACTCTGGGAATTGTACCACTGCCAAGGGTAATAGGCAGTCTCCTAACAACACTCAGCACCCTTAACAAACTACAGCTCCCACAATTCCTTGGGGCGGAGGGGAGCCATGTCTGTTTAAAGTGGCATCATAATGCTTTAAATGCATGGATTGAATGTGGTCCTTATATTATCCTCTGGGCTCCTAGCCCACTCCCCAACTCCAGCTGCTGGTAGTAAAGGATCAGTTACTCACAAGTAGACCTCTTGCTCAAGAGCAGACCCCTCACGAGCTGAGCAACGACTCTGGGACTGCGGTTATGTTGTTGCTCTTTGGGCTACTCCTGGATTATTATTTTTATGCTTGCTTTCTTGATGGCTGGTTGCATCTCCTCCTCTGATATCTCCAAGGGTTCTTCAATAGGCCTCTCCCCAAAGGACCCTGCAAGGGGGTGCTCAGCACTTGTTTCAGGAATCCCTGCCTGCTCCCCAAGCTCCTAGGACCTGTGGAGTGTCAGGTTCATTCAGGATGGATGGCGGCTAACAGATTGAGGTTGAATCCTGACAAGACAGAAGTACTGTTCTTGGGGGACAGGGGGCGGGCTGGTGTGGAGGGCTCCCTGGTCCTGAATGGGGTAACTGTGCCCCTGAAGGACCAGGTGCGTAGCCTGGGAGTCATTTTGGACTCACAGCTGTCCATGGAGGTGCAGGTCAATTCTGTGTCCGGGCCAGCTGTCTACCAGCTCCACCTGGTACGCAGGCTGAGACCCTACCTGCCCATGGACTGCCTCGCCAGAGTGGTGCATGCTCTGGTTATCTCTCGCTTGGACTACTGCAATGCACTCTATGTGGCGCTACCTTTGAAGGTGACCCGGAAACTACAACTAATCCAGAATGTGGCAGCTAGACTGGTGACTGGGAGCAGCCACCGAGACCACATAACACCGGTCTTGAAAGACCTACATTGGCTCCCAGTACGTTTCCGAGCACAATTCAAAGTGTTGGTGCTGACCTTTAAAGCCCTAAACAGCCTCGGTCCAGTATATCTGAAGGAGCATCTTCACCCGCATTGTTCTACCCAGACACTGAGGTCCAACTCCGAGGGCCTTCTGGCGGTTCCCTCACTGCGAGAAGCCAAGTTACAGAGAACCAGGCAGAGGGCCTTCTAGGTAGTGGCACCCGCCCTGTGGAACTTCCTCCCACCAGATGTCAAAGAGAACAACAACTAACAGACTTTTAGACAACATCTGAAGGTAGCCCTGTTTAGGGAAGCTTTTAATGTTTGATGCATTACTGTATTTTAATATTATGTTGGAAGCCACCCAGAGTGGCTGGGGAAACCCAGCCAGATGGGCGGCCGGGATATAAATAATAAATAAATAATAAATTTATTATTATTATTATTATTATTATTATTATTATTATTATATCATCCTCTGAGGACTCTGTGTCTAGCGCCAGGCCAAGGCTATGCTGGTCAAGGGATGAGATCCAGCTGCACTTAGCTCAGGGGCAGAGCACCTCCTCTGCGTACAGAAAGCCCCAGGCTCCATCTCTGAGGCCTCCCGTTAGGGTTGGGAAAGACCCCTGTGTGAAACACTAGAAAACTGCTGCCAGCCAGTGTAGACAGTACTGAGCTAGATGGACCAAAGTCTGACTCAGTGCAATGCAGATTCCTATCTCCCCTCCCCCGCCCCCCGAGAACAGAACTATCAACGGTTTCTAGCCACAATGCCTAAGGATGGAAACCTCCCTCTTCAGGGGACATTGCACCTCAAATTACAAGACTTCGCATGTGAAGTCCAATGACTTCTGGAGGGCACTAGGTTCCGATCCTGAAGTAGGCTTCGGCCTACTCCAGAAACGCAATTGTTCCGTCCCGTTGTTAAGTTTCTTCTGCCTCATTGTTCTTCTCTACTTTTCACCTTGAGAGAGAAGGGAGAAAGAAAGGGAAAAAAATCTCTTTCCCAGTATCACAGCTCATTCGATAGACGTCCTACGGCAGCAGAGAGGCCCCGTCTCTTGTGAGGAAGAGCAGTTAGCGTTGGCGACATTAATTTCCCCTCAGCGTCTCCCGAACGGCCCGAGTTGCTAAGTAGGGTTGCGATAAGGGAAAGCCGGCTCGCCTGGCCGCTTTATAGATAAGCGCCGTTCTGTATAAAAACTGCCGCTATGGAATTTTTGTTTCTAAATGAAAGGGGGAAATGAAAAAAAGCACCCAGCTCATGACAGAGTTCGAGAGAGCAACCGACGGGAAAAAAGAGGATTAAGCTATTGATACAAGAGCAACGCTGCTTCAAAATGTGGGAAGGAGAGGGAAATGTCATGGCTGTACTACCGGAGTGAGCCAACCGTCAGGAGGCTGGAAGGGCTGAGCTCACATTTTGCCTTCACTGTAGAATCATAGAATTGTAAAGTCAGAAGGGACCCAAAGGGGCATCTAGTCCAACCCCCTGCAATGAAGGAACCACAGCTGCAGACTCTCTGACAGGTGGCCATCTGACCTCCGTTTAAAAACCTTCAATGAAGGAGAGCCCGCCACCTTCCAACCTAGTCTGTTCCACTGTCAAGCAGCTCTCACCTCCTTAAAGTTCTCCCTAAAGTTTAGTCATTTGAATCTTTGTTTGGGTCCTACCCTCTGGAGCAGGAGAAAACAAGCTTGCTGTGTCTACAGATATTTGAATGTGGCTGTCACACCACCTCTCATTCTTCTCTTCTCCAGGCTAAACATACCCAGCTCCCTCAATCAAGAGTTTCCAAACTCTTGATCATCTTGATCGCTGTCCTCTGCACATGTTCCAGCTCACCAAAATCCTCCTTAAACTGTGGTGTCCAGAATTCCTCCCTATCTGCTATTTGACAAAGGGACAATTTAACAGGCTTTGAAGGACACTCAGCATGGCTTCAATACTGGAAGGAGAAGTCTAACCAATCCACCCTGATCATAGTGGACGGAGGACATGGCTCAACTGGCGGTTCAGGAGGAGGTGACCACCTGCTAACAAAAGAAAGATCGGAATTTGTCTGTTATATGTACTCTTTTTGCAGATCTGTTTGCTTGGATGTCTGAGCACTTGCTTGGTCTGGACCACCAGCCATTTCCCTTCTTCTTCCCCATCTCTTCCTCACCACAGCTGTCAACTTTTCCCTTTTCTTGCAAGGAATCCTATTCAGAATAAGGGAATTTCCCTTTTAAAAAGGGAACAGTTGACAGCTATGCTCCTCACTTGCAAACATAGAACATGCTGTCTTGATTCATTAACACTTAGATTGTATTGCTTGACTGTATTTGTTTCTTTTGGGAAAATTCAATAAAAAATTATGAATAACAAGAAAGAAAGGAAGGAAGGAAGGAAGGAAGGAAGGAAGGAAGGAAGGGAGAGGATGGGATGACAACCAGGAAGCCATGACGGAAAAGGCCCTCAGCACCAAAGTCAGAGAGCTGGATAAGACCCCATGAGGACGATACTAACAATTTGAAAGTTCATACGGGTGAAGGTGGTCTTATTGGTAAGTGCAGTCCCAAGCTGCATGAAGCTTTGAAGTGGAATAATGACTAGGAATCAAAGCTGTGCTTGAAAACTGATTGTGAGCTTTGGGGACACTGAGAAGGTAGCCAAGTACCTGTTGAAGATTCATTCCCCGTGTCTGCAGTCATGGGATTGTTGTCTATCACATGATGGTGTACGTTTTCATTCCACAGAGTGGGAAGTGACGGAGACAGGATGTTTGTGTTACTGTGTTCCGTGAAGTGGGACTATTGTCCTTTGTTCCTTCTCTTTGCTGTCTGATGCTAGAGATGTTGCAGTGCTCTGTGTTTGTTTATAGGCAAATAAAGTAGAATAGCCAAAATGCTGAGTTGCTGAGGTCTGTTACGCAAACTGCGAGCACTCTGCGGATCCCTAAGTGTGCTGGTGTCTGTTGGCATCGGTCGCTGTGATATTCAGGCAGAAGAAAGCTTTTGAAGCCAGTCGGGCATGTGTCTCTGCCAGGGTCCTACTCAAGTGTAGGATGAGCTCCTGACAGTACCATCTGTTTAACCTGACTTGCAACGCTTCCTAGGTCACATTCCCAGCATGCATTTAAAGCACCATGACGCCACTTAAATAGTCGTGGCTTCTCCCCCAAAATTGTAGTTTGTTAAGGGTGCTAAGATTTGGGAGGAAACCCTCTATTCTCAGAGACACAATTCCCAGAGTAGTTTAACAATCAATCCCTCTTCCCAGGGAATTCTGGGAATTGTAGCTCTGGGAGGGGAATGGGGGGGATCTCCTAAGCAAACTATCCTTCCCAGAATTCTTTGGGGGAAGCCGTGACTGTTTAACGTGGAATCAAAATGCTTTAGAAGTATGGTGTGAATATGGCCCTAGTCTCAGTTGTGTTTCCCAGCGCAAGCTCCCAGAACCTTTTAAACTAGTGATGTCCTGGATTGAACCAGGGAACTTTGGCACACAAAGCCGGTGCTTTGCCACTCAGCTACTGCCCTCCTTCTCCCGCCTTCAAAACATAGAGCCGAGAAACTAGCCAAAGCAGGACGAAGCAGGAGTCGTGTTGTGGCCAAACACATTATTGCTTCAGTTGCTCCAGCAACCAAAACACCTACAATCAGCTCTGGGCAATTAAGACCCAATGCATGGTAGGCAAACAGGGAGCAGAGGGCATGTCTGTGTGTGCATGTGTGTAGCATGAATATCTCCTATCCCCGACATCCAGTTTGGTTGACTCACAGACTTTTGTCACCATTCTGCCTTTTCAGGGCTGTCTTAAGCATATCTGGCGCCAGGGTGCAAAGATTCCTCTGGCGCCCCACACCCTGTTTCCCAGAGTTGTCAACCTTTTCCCAAGCCTCTGAGGGAATTGCTCTCCTCCTGTGGAAGTTTGGGAGGCAAGCTGCATGCCCGCCAGCCATATGGTTGATGGGGCGCAGCTGGCGGGCATGCAGGAGGGAAAGGGGAGGCCGCCGGCAAAGCCGCGCAGCTCCCCCACTTGCTGGGGTGCCCCTGAGAGGTTGGCGCCCTGGCGCAACGCGCAAGTAAACCCAATGGGAAATACGGCTATGTGCCTTCTGCTAAAGCAGGGGAGGGGGATGCTTTTCATCCTGAGGGCCACATTCCCTTCTAGGCAACATTCAAAGGGCCACACGCCAGTAGTGGGCAGGGCCAGAAGCATAAGTGGGCGGAGCCACACATTAATTCACTGGTGCGTTCCTCTCCACCCTCCATCCGGGTGAGCAAGAAGTGTTATTTTCTATTGGGATCACTGTGGGATTTCCATCGCCCGAGGCAGCTGCTTCAGTGCTTAAGGGTATCCTGAACCCAAGTTTTTCAGGGCTTCGTAAATTAATACAAGAATCTTGAACCTGGACCAGTAGCATACAGGGAGCCAGTGCAAGCTTTTGAGCACTGGAGTTATGTGCGGGTGGTATCCTGTGCCCATAAACGGTCTAGCCACAGCATTTACCACACCAACAGGCACAAGCATAGCCCTACATAGAGTGCATTGCAACAACAACAACAATTTATTATTTATACCACGCCCATCTGGCTGGGCTTCCCCAGCCACTCTGGGCAGCTTAAAACAAAATATTAAAATACAGTAATGCATCAAACATTAAAAGCTTCCCTAAACAGGGCTGCCTTCAGATGTCTTTTAAAAGTCTGGTAGTTGTTGTTCTTTGACATCTGGTGGGAGGGTGTTCCACAGGGCGGGTGCCACTCCCGAGAAGGCCCTCTGCCTGGTTCCCTGTAACTTGGCTTCTTGCAGTGAGGGAACCGCCAGAAGGCCCTCGGCGCTGGAACTCAGTGTCCGGGCAGAACAATGGGGGTGGAGACGCTCCTTCAGTCTTAAGCTTACACAGGAACTATATAAAGCCTCTTAAATATCCAAGTCCTGGGAATTAGGTACCAGATTCAACCGAAAGAGATGCTGATCCCAGGCTGTATGTAAACCCGCCTGTACTTAGAAGTGACACAGCCACACCCGCCTCCTCTGCCAGCTCCTGCACATGCAAAGCGCTCTCAAGAAAAGAGATGGGCAGATGTTATTTGGGCCATAAATGTTCCTTTATGGAGATTTATAAAATGTGTGACGCAGGGAAACAGCGGTGACAGAGCAATAGAGGTTTATGAGCAGTACTTCTGATACCTTGCTGAGCTTTCTGAGAACCTTTAAAAGACAGTGGGGACAGAGTTGGTGTGGACACTCCAATAAGGCAATAGAAATAAAAGCGAGAACAATATTTATTTATATCTTTGAAAGTTACATAACCATCCCTTCTTTTTCCAGTCCTCAGGCATGAGCATAGTTGTACCCTTGTAAGAGGGAGGTCCCAGGTTAGCAGAAGTTTTTTTAAAAAATAAAAATAAAAAAACGTTCTACTAAGTGTAAAGGTAAAGGGACCCCTGACCACTAGGTCCAGTCGTGGCTGACTCTGGGGTTGAGGCGCTCATCTCGCTTTATTGGCCGAGGGAGCCGGCGTACAACTTCCGGGTCATGTGGCCAGCATGGCTAAGCCGCTGCTGGCGAACCAGAGCAGTGCATGGAAATGCCGTTTACCTTCCTGCCGGAAACCTATTTATCTACTTGCACTTTGAGCTCACCCCATCGCGGGGATTCGAACCGCCGACCTTCTGATCAGCAAGTCCTAGGCTCTGTGGTTTAACCCACAGCGCCACCTGCGTCCCATTCTACTAAGAGAGGAACCCCCAAAAGCAGCCTGGTGGGGAAAGACGCTTTGTTCAGCTATCATGCCAATTAATTTCATTTTATTATTATTATTTCACCCAAGGGATTCTGGGTAGCACCCATGGTCTCCCCTGTTTTATCCTTGCAACAACCCTGGAAGGTAGATTAGGTTGAGCGCAGTATTCAAAATTTGCATTGTTCTAGGCACATTTTGCAACAGGGAATTTCATTAGCACAAGCAGTTTCTGAGCTCCGGGCGCAGTACTGCGCCTAAGATTTCAGATTAAAACTGCAGCGAGGAAGGAAAGGAGGACCTTTTTCTGCCTCCCCACTTCCAGCTACTCTCTTAAGACTGGAGAAGAGACCTTCTTAAGAATATTAGGGAGTTGGACAGGGGAAGGACTAGACCTTGTGAAAAATGATCATAATTTTTTAGCTGCAGTTCATTTCAGCTTTGTATTGTTATATAAAAAAAGCATGCATAGGCATTCCATGGTTGCACCCATAACCTAGGTTTAAGGTGTCAGTTAGCTCCTAGCTTTCATCTCTCAGTTTCTGACACTAGTTGACTAATAGTGACACGGGCAAGGTAACTTTAGGGATGGGCAAATCTGTCAATTTCAGTTTCTCTTGGCTTCTCGTTTTTCCAGTCTTACACTGAGTTCTCCACATTTCCACATCAGTTTGCGAATTTCCTTAATAGAATTCATTTCCATGCAGTTTTCACGAATATATGCTTTCATGCTTGGCCAGAGAATTGTATTGCAAAATTCAGATAAGTCTAAATTTTGAGGGATGGCTGTCTTCCAGTTTGCATATTGTTTCAGAAAGCGATCCTCCCCTGAAGTGCCAAACTAGCTTTTTTTTTTTAAAAAGAAGCCCAAGGCCCATCAGTATTACAGAAATCCCAGTGTAAAGAGCCATACAGTGGTATCTCGGATTAAGAACTTAATTCGTTCTGGAGGTCCATTCTTAACCTGAAACTGTTCTTAACCTGAAGCACCACTTTAGCTAATGGGGCCTTCCGCTGCAGCACAATTTCTGTTCTTATCCTGAAGCAAAGTTCTTAACCCGAGGTACTATTTCTGGGTTAGCAGAGTCTGTAACCTGAAGCGTCTGTAACCCGAGGTACCACTATATTTAATGAATAGAGATTTGTGCTACATGCAGTCCAACTCTCTTCTGGAGCTGTGCCAAATCACCATAGCATCACGAGCTGTTGTACAATTGTCCTCTGCGTTCTTGTTAGGTAAACCAGAGCTGAGCCTACAACACTTATGGAGAAATCACTGCTGTTACTAAACTTAATTTTACATGCAACCTCTTGAGCATTTTTCATCCTGCTGGAGCCATATGGTACTTTGAGTACCATTGCTGTGGATGAATGGCACTCATTCTGTTTTGCAATTTTGATCTGCCCAGGTTCTACTACACCTGACCTTTGGTTTAACCAGGAAGATATCTTATACCGAGTCAGACCATTGGTCTATTAAGCTCAGTAGTGCCTACACTGACTGGCAGGAGATCTCCAGGGGTCTTTCCCAGTTCCATCTGGAGATGCCGGGGATTGGACCTGGGACCTTCTCTGGGCAAATCAGGTGCTCTGGCACTGAGCTACAGTCTCTCCCATAGAAGGGAATTTTAAAAATTACTTCTGAGCATGCTCAGTTTGCTGCTACTTTCGTTTCCTTTCTCACTAGTTTTCTGCATGGAAAGGTTTATTTTTAAAACCTGGGAGGATATTACAACTATATATGGCAACCTCCTACATCCCCTCTGCAATCCAAAGTGATGCACTCCACTTCCTACGGTGTGAATCTGTACGCCACAGGTTTAGTTTCCTGGGTTTAGTGCTGAGTATCCTAGATGTTGTTGTTGTTGTTTAGTCGTTTAGTCGTGTCCTACTCTTCGTGGCCCCATGGACCAGAGCATGCCAGGCACTCCTGTCTTCCACTGTCTCCCGCAGTTTGGTCAAACTCATGCTGGTAGCTCCGAGAACACTGTCCAACCATTTCATCCTCTGTCGTCCCCTTCTCCTTGTGCCCTCCATCATTCCCAACATCAGGGTCTTTTCCAGGGAGTCTTCCCTTCTCATGAGGTGGCCAAATTATTGGAGCCTCAGCTTCAGGATCTGTCCTTTCAGTGAGCACTCAGGGCTGATTTCCTTCAGAATGGATAGGTTTGATCTTCTTGCAGTCCATGGGACTCTCAAGAGTCTCCTCCAGACCATAATTCAAAAGCATCAATTCTTCGGCGATCAGCCTTCTTTATGGTCCAGCTCTCACTTCCATACATCACTACTGGGAAAACCATAGCTTTAACTATACGGACCTTTGTTGGCAAGGTGATGTCTCTGCTTTTAAGATGCTGTCTAGGTTTGTCATTGCTTTTCTCCCAAGAAGCAGGCGTCTTTTAATTTCATGGCTGCTGTCACCATCTGCAGTGATCATGGAGCCCAAGAAAGTAAAATCTCTCACTGCCTCCATTTCTTCCCCTTCTATTTGCCAGGAGGTGATGGGACCAGTGTCCAAATATCTGAAGGGCTGCCACACACAAGATGGGGCAGACGTATTCTCTGTTGCCCTGGAGGGAAAGGCCAGAGCTGTGCACTGTATTTGCCCATGGCCCCAATCCTGAGTCAAACTGGGCCCATTTTGTGGGGGGGGGGGGATCTGGGCCTCGTTCCAGTTGGATTGAGACAGGCTGGTAAATAGTCACATTCCAGGATTTGACATTTCTATAAAGCCATCTGGATTTAGAAAAAAAGGGCAGAGGAGTGCTTTGACCTTTGCTATTAAT